CAAAATGCTGTTTGTGTAATCAGATGGGGAAATATTGATTATCTTGGAGGTATGTCAGTTGCATATATAAATTAATGTTTGAATATGCGTGGTATAAATTTAGTATTTTACTTCCTATTTCAGGAAAGGTAACGATCTCGGCTATTCAACCAACATTGGTAGTACTGAACCCACATATTGCAGAAGTCGAAGAATTCAGAGAAAAGTATGGCCTATACATACCTTCCTATGTATAGTATATATAATATCATACATAACCTTTTTTATTTATGTTGTTTTATTTTTATTACGCAGGATGATTAGCAGTCGAAGCTATTGTCTAGAGAATGTTCACCATCGAGATTAGATAGATACAATATTACCCTATTCACTATTCGTATTTTAAATTTATGTTTTAGGATACATTTCATAAGGTTTTTGGTTTTTTAAAGTGTTCTTCGAATTCTTCATCTTCATTATATGTGAAGTTAGTATTTCATAATTATAATTATTGTTTTCGAATTCATTTATTATCAATTGTTTCTCGATTATTGCCTATACATGTTCCATATATATATATATATATTTTAAGTTAAAGTATCTTTCATAAACATGCGTATACAGTATATATATTTATATCCGAGTTGAAATTCTCAATGAAATACTCGAGTGTCTTTTCCTTCTTTGTAGTATTTACAAAAAATAAAAACTTATAAATTATGGAAATTATGATTATTTAAATAAAATTAAAAAAGTATAATATACGGTTATAGTTCGAAATATATTTCTAACAAAAAAAATGAAAAAGGATTTTATAAATAAAGGAAAATGTACAAAAGATGCTAATTTCATTATCATTATAATGTTTGTTTTATGTTTATGTTAAAATGACTGAAAACATAATTTCACGCAACTGATTTTTGGATAAAAATAACAAATATACTTATATGAGAAATGAAATAAGTAAAATTTACATTTAAATTATGTAAAGTCTTAAAATTGAACTCGATATATAGAAATCGATAAAAGATACGATACTCTATTTCTTTGCATCGATCCAAAAGACCTAGGGTTTTTATCAATTCCTATATATATATATATATTTATGTACGACTGATTAATCTTCCTCATTAAATCGGTTCAAGAATTTTCGGGGAAAAGAAGAAGATGGAGTCGTCAATAGATAATAGTGTTGACACTAAGAAAGTTGTGAAGTCCTATCTCAAGCGGAAAACAATCGTCTCTGCTCTGATAGACGAAATTGATAGAACGAGTGATCGTTACAAGATAAAGGTTCAGATAATCAATCTCTGGAAATCATATCGTAAAAATAAGGTTACATCCATAGAGATGATATTAACAGATGAAGTGGTAGGCAATGTTAATGTTTTATATCTATATATATGAACATGCATCGTATAGTAAAATTATGATATAAATAACTTATATATTAATTAAGTTTTTGACTATATCAGGGTTCTAGGATTCATGCAACTGTTGATGGAGATTTGGTGGAGCAATTTAATTCTGAATTGACCGAAGGCCGTACTATATTCTTAAGCAACTTCACGTTCAAAGATTACACTACTGCATATAGGACAAGTTCTTTATCTTTTAAAATAAGTTTCTACAGGACTACTGTTATAACACCTTGTGATGACTTTCCTAGGGAACTTCTTTATAGATATTTTAAGGAATTTTCAACTATAAGTAATGGGGATTATGACAACAGTGTTTTAATAGGTATGCTAGATATATGTTGTTTATTATATTTATCGAGTTATACTGTGATATAATACATCTTATCTGTACTAATTCTTTATAAATATTCATGTAGATGTCATAGGGCAGGTTGTTAGTCTAGAAACTTCTGACGTTATCGCTCAAGGAAAACCAATAAAAAAGTTGGACGTTGTTCTACGTAATGCCAGGTGAGTTCATAATGATATAATTATTAAATAATATTTAGTCAAATCATATATAATTTAATTAGTTTGTTGATTACGTATAGTGATAATCGCTTGACTTGCACGCTGTGGGGAAATTTCGGAAAGAAAGTAATCGACTACGTGACAAAAAATACTGCGTCTGTGATCGTGTGTGTTGTTAGATTTGCTTCAGTATCAGAATGGAAAGGTATATTTGAACTTAATTGTATTGATAATATTTGTGATATAAATAAGTTTATCATATACGGTTTTTTAGAAATTTTAAATACTTTACTTCTAATTTCTTGTAGGAGTTTACAGTATTTCAAACTCTTTCAACGCAACACAAATATTTCTCGATCCACATTCTAAACAAATTGAAGATTTTAGAGCTTTGTAAGTAATGAAATCTGTTTGTTTGTGTATACTTTTAGAGCTATCATGAATACTAAAAGGAATGACTTTTGTTAGGTTGCCAACCAATACATTTGTGATATCCAATGAACATAAGGTGCAATCATCGTCCATTAAGTCTATTTCATGGAAAGATGAATTCTTTGATAGAAATGAAAGAAAGACAATTCAGGGTATTGTTTATGCCGATACGGTACGTGTTTATTAAGTTTATTTTAAATTTATACATAATAATTATTTGTTTTATATATTTGAGAATGATCTGTTTTTTATATTTAAATCATATTATTTTCGAGTGTAGGAAATGAAATGTGTTACTGCTGCGACAGTTGTTCGAGTCGAATATAATCATATATGGTATTATATTGCATGCAGAACTTGCGATAAAACAGTTCATCCAATAGAATCTGATTCTACCGATGACGATTCCTTGCTATTTGATTGTAGAGAATGTGGCGAGGCTGTCTCAGATGTTATAGCCAGGTAAATGGTTCATTGATTCAAAGCAGTTATTAGAAAAAATTTTAATTTTTGGCTTTACAAATATTCATATTTTCGTAGGTATAAGTTAGTGTTGGTTGTTTCCGACGAGTCTGGCGAAGAGATAAGATTCTTACTGTTTGATAAAATCGCTAGCGCATTTCTCCGTGTTCAAGCAGATACTTTAGCTGAGGAGGTTGCTGAGGTATATCATTTTATAATACTTTGTGCACATTATCATATAATCTTATCTTATTTATGTGTAATGTCTTTTTATATTTTGATCAGGACAGAACTTTGGTGCTTCCACGAGCTCTTTCTGATTTGGTTGGGAAGAAGCTCCTTTTCAAAATCGGAATAGGAACGGACGTCAAACTTATAAAGTCGAGATCGTTGTCGATGATGCAGATATGTTGAATAAGTTTGAAAATCATGGAATTCGATCCCTCGAACATGATTTAGAACTTAGGTACTCAGGTAGAGTTGCATCACTGACACCATCGCCAGTATCAAAACGAGTTTCAGATTCAGCCGTTCAAACGCCTAATGTTGACGAAAAAAGTAATAGCAAGAAAAGAGGAAGACGGCAATGAACAAACACATACGTTTTGAAATCTTCGAACTGATATTTTTATAATTCTCGATGTTGGTTTTTCTTTTTTTGTTTTATATACTTTAGTACTGATATTTATGCATATTCGAATTTATGGTTTGTTTTTTTTAGGATGCGTTATTGATTCAAAGAACGAAAAATTCAAAACAAGTACTTAAATCTCTATATAAATTGCGAAGTAACACAACTTACTTTATTGTGAAATATTACAGTTTGTGCATATATGCAATTTTATATTTTAATATTATCATAGTTTCATAAATTAACACATGAAATCGTCAAAGTATCTAAGATATCGATTATTCTATTAATATTAAATATTTTATAAACTTAAACTCAGAAAAAGACAAAACATAAAATGTTAAATTAGGTTTGTTTCAATAAAGAAAAAATGAAAACCCTACAAATTATAGGAAAACCTTACATATGTTTAAATAGTGTTTCTCATGAACGTATTTTAATATCGTACAAAAAAGAAAAAGAAAACCTAATCAGAAACTATGTCGCCGAAGAAAAAGAGAAAAACGAAACCTAGGGTCGTTAAGATACCTGTTGCAAATCGTCGTAAGTGTTTCTGTTTCTTTGAAAAATGCATGTATTGTTACTTTTGATATGCCGCTGAAACACCTTTCATCCTTAATACAGCAATCGTTTCATGGGCTGAAACGTATGCACCAACGTTACCAAAATCAGTTTATCATCAATACATTGATATAGAATCTATTGGACGTGTTGGTATGGCTAAAATAGCCAGACAAAACAGACTGAATATCATTCGATCGAAGCGTGGTTTACCAACAATAAATAATTCAAAAGGTTATGTTGATTAAATACAATTTTATATTAATTTATATTAAATATATGAAACTAACTTCAACTGATTTTCTAAATTTATAGATATATTGACAGAGTCTGTTGATGTCGATGATGTTCTATGTTTTGTCGCTACTGATTCGGACATGGACGATGATAAAGATTCAGATGCTGTTCCGCCAAGTAATTTGAACAAACGACGACCAAGACAAAAAAAACCTAGACCACCGAATTATCCTGAATATAATTCATTCGCGAGTTTTGGCTTGATGGAAAGTGGTACAAATCCAAACAAATTCCCTTTTTTAGTATATATACAAGTTATTATATTTTAAAAATGTAAAATCAATTATAGGTTATTATGATGATGGTGATCAATCTTACATGTGTGACTATTGCAATGCTTTAATGTGGTTTGGAGAACGTATAAACAAGCACTCTCTATCTTCTACTCCAGTTTTCACGATGTGCTGTCTAAGTGGCAAAGTTCAGCTATTGAAACCTCCCCCAAATACGTTGTTAAATTATTGTATAATCGCGATAACACGAGGAAACACTTCCGTGAATTCATAAGAGCATACAATATGATGTTTTCGTTTACGTCACTTGGTGGAAAGGTTGATAATACTATAAACAACGGTAATGGTCCGTATTTATTCCAAATGTGTAGTGAAAATTATCATTTGATCGGAGATATGTTACCAGCACCTGGCAAACAACCAAACTTCCTACAATTATATATCCATGATACCATCAACGAAGTTAAAAATAGGATGAATGCTTATGGGTAATCTTCGATTTTTATTATAATATAATATTATTATTTATCTATATCAATATAGTGTTTCATTTTTATAAATAATAATAGTTTCAAAATGACTGTTCAGGGATGTTGGTAATTCGAGGAAGCTGAGAGCAGATATCGTGGAGCTTCTGAAGAAGATGTTAGATGATCATAATCCTCACGTTAAAGCCTTAAAAACTGCACGCGAACAATTTGTTGGGAATCCAAATTCTAAAGGTTTTAAGTTGGTTCTTGCAAGTGGCCGAACTACTGATGGTCGAACGCATAACTTACCTACTGAGAACGATGTGGCGGCTTTGATACCTGGTGATTTCAATATGTTAACAGAAAAAAGAGACATCGTTATTCAAAGCAAGTCTGGAGGTTTATACCGTATAAGTGAGTTGCATCCGGCTTATTTACCTTTGCAGTATCCGTTATTGTTTCCGTATGGTGAAGATGGTTTTAGATTAGGTATTGATATTGGCTATGTTGATACATCTGGGAGGAAACGCACAACCGTTACAATGCGCGAGTTTTTCGCATTTCGCATTCAAGACAGGCATGGAGAATCCCCAATCATTATGATGTCTGGGAGATTGTATCAGCAGTTTCTGGTTGACGCATATACGATGGTAGAATCAAATAGGCTTCGTTATATATGGCATAATCAAAAGAAGCTACGGTGTGACAGCTTTGATAAGATTGAACAATCTGGTGAACGTGGCAATAATGATCTTTCTGAACAAGGAATAAAGGTGCTTATACCTGCTTCATTCACGGGAAGTAAGAGATTCATGAGGAAACATTATCTAGACGCGATGGCAACATGCAAGTACTATGGATACCCGGATTTTTTCATAACAATTACTTGCAATCCAAAATGGCCTGAGATAACGAGGTTTTTGGAAAAACATGATCTAAAGATCGAGGATCGACCAGATATTTGTTGCAGGATTTTTAAAATGAAGCTCGATAATTTAGTGAATTATCTAACGAAAGATCACGTTATGGGCCACGTTAACTCAGGTATGTCAAAAAGATTAACTATAAGTAAAGAGTCATAATATATAAATCGTGCCAACTTATACTTAACATATAGGTACTAATTCGATTTATTATATGTTTTTCTAACTTTTTCTAATTGTTTTACTTTTATTTCAGCGATGTATACCATTGAATTCCAAAAAAGAGGATTCCCACATGCCCACATGGTTGTTTTCTTGAAACCCGAATCCAAACTACCAACAGGCGAGGACATAGATAGATTTATATCAGCAGAGATACCGGACAAGGACTTGGATCCAATTTTGTACGAAATTGTTGGAGACTTGATGATACATGGACCATGCGGCGATGACAATCCAAAAAATGTTTGTATGCATGAGAAAAGGTGTACAAAATTCTTTCCTAAGCCTACTGGATCAGTTACTAAAATCGATGATGCTGGCTTCCCCATCTATAGACGTCGTATGGATCAAAGAACCATTCTGAAGAGGGGTGTTTTGTGTGATAACCGATATGTTGTCCCATATAATCCAGATCTCTTAAAGCGTTTTCGGGCACATGTTAACGTTGAGTGGTGCAACCAAACCAGGTCTATAAAGTACCTATTCAAATATATAAACAAGGGTCCAGATTACATTAGAGCAGCAATCGAGGATGAAGACGGTAACCCCGTTATATCCCAAGATGAGGTTGAGCAACATTTCAATTGCAGGTAACTTTGCGAAACTAAATTTTAAGATTAGATCGCTTGAATAATTACTTAAGTATGATTTAAAAAAAACAAGATTATTTATTTCTGTTTGATTTGCTCATTCTTAGATACATTTCACCGTATGAATCTTCATGGAGGCTTCTAAAGATTCCTACACAGTACCGAACCACGGCAGTAATGCAACTTTCGTTTCATTTGCCTGGTAAACAAATGTGTATATATCACGAAGGAGAGAGCGTTGACCAAGTCTTAAACAAGGCATCGGTAGGTCAGTCACAATTTATAGCGTGGATGGAGGCAAACAAGAAACTTGCCTTGGCAAAGGAGCTAACATATGCTGATTTCCCAACATAATTCGTCTGGATCTCAAAGCAGCGGCAATGGAGGATACGAAAACAAGGTTTTGCCATAGGCAGACTGGTGTATGTCTCACCTTCCGCTGAAGACGCATATCATTTGCGATTCTTCTCAATATAGTCAAGGGCCCTGAGAGTTTTGATGACTTAAAAAAGGTTAATGGTGTTATATACTCTTCCTTCCGAGAAGCATGCTTTGCGCTTGGTTTGTTAGACGATGATAAAGAATACATCGAAGGAATTAAAGAGGCCAGTTTTTGGGGAACTGGAAAGTTTCTTCGTAAACTTTTTGCTATAATGCTTCTTTCGAGTAGTGTAGCAGTTCCGATCAACGTCTGGAATGCAACTTGGAAAATATTAACCGAGGATTTCTTATATCAGAAAAGGCGTGAAGAGAATGACCCAGGTAAGATGGATTTGAAATTTTAAACTATTTTACAAGATTCACATTATCTTAGTTGCTAACAGACTTATTTGTATATCTAGGTTTGGTGTTGACTGAAGCCCAATATAAGAATCTTCGTTTATCAGATATAGAGAAGTATATGCGCAGAAATGGTCATTCATTATCCGACTATAAAGGAGAGATGCCAGTCCCTGATGATATTGGAAAGTATAAGAAATCAAATCATCTAATTCGGGATGAGAAATCATACGATCGTGCAAAACTTGCAAACGATCATGTCAAGTTGTTTTCAACAATAACCAATGAACAATGGATATCTACAATGAGATAATGGATGCAGTTACAAGAGGTATCGGTGGAATGTTTTTTGTTTATGGATATGGTGGGACAGGTAAAACGTACCTATGGAGGCTTTTAGGCGCTGCTCTTCGTTCTCAAGGAAAAATAGTTCTCAATGTTGCATCAAGTGGCATTGCAGCATTGTTATTAGAGGGAGGAAGAACAGCGCATTCTCAGTTTGGAATACCCATAGTTGTGAACGAGTATACATTCTGTAATGTGAGTTCTGGATCACACCAAGCAGAGCTGATTGAAGCAGCCGATCTTATTATATGGGATGAGGCTCCGATGATGAGCAAGCATTGTTTTGAGACATTGGATCGGACTATGCGTGATATACTAAAGCGTGATAAGGTCTTTGGTGGAAAGGTCGTTGTCTTGGGTGGTGACTTTTGACAAATACTCCCTGTTATTGTCGGAGGCAATAGCTCAGAGACTATATTGGCAACTGTGAATTCTTCTCATATTTGGTCTGATTGCAAAGTTCTGCAGCTAAAGACAAATATGAGACTGCTTCGTGGCGATAATGATTTTAATAATAAAGAAATTGAAGAATTCGCCAAGTGGATCTTGGATATTGGTGATGGAAAACTAAATATTCATGATACCATAGAAGATGAATTAGAAATTCCAGCGGATTTGCTGATAAGCGGAGAAGGTGATCCTGTTAAGAGAATAGTCTCGGAGATTTATGGTCAATCTTACACAACCACTCGTGAACCAGTTTTTTTTCAGGAAAAGGCAATACTCAGTCCACGGAATCAGGATGTCGACGTTATTAATGAATTCATGCTATCAGAACTCAAAGGTCTTCGTTATATGATTTATCACAATTCCTTTTAATATGTATTTATATTATAATTAAAATATATCAGTACTAACATAGTTTGAATTGTTTTTATTAGGTGAGGAACATGAATACCTTAGTGCCGATAGCATTGATACTTCAGACACAAGCAAAATAGACGAAGTCGTCTATACACAGGAGTATCTTAATAGTATAAAGGTATCAGGGCTGCCAAATCATTCTCTCAAGTTAAAGATAGGAGCTCCAATAATGTTGCTTAGAAATATTGATCCTAAGGGTGGTTTGTGTAATGGTACGAGGTTGCTTATTACTCGGTTAGCTAGGAATGTAATCAAGGCAAGCCATATAACCGGGAAGAAAATAGGAAAAAAAGTTATCATACCTAGAATTTTTGTGTCACCACCAAAAGCAAGGTTTCCTTTTAGAATGCGCCGGAGGCAGTTTCCTATTACCATAGCTTTTGCTATGACTATAAACAAAAGTCAGGGTCAGACTCTATAAAAGGTGGGATTATATTTGCCAAAGCCAGTGTTCTCGCATGGTCAACTTTATGTCGCCGTGTCTAGAGTTACATCACGCCAAGGGTTGAAGATTCTTATTACAGATATGAATGGCAAAGCACAAAAGAAGACAATGAATGTTGTTTACAAAGACGTGTTTGAAAACATTTATAGAAATTCGCGGTTGGTTTGAATAGATTGTTTTGTTTGCTACTAAAAGTATGTTTAGATTACATTGGATATTAGTTATATTATTTTGGTGGTCATTGGTATTTTTAAACTGTTTTATCTTTTAAATTTTGTTATATTTAACTGATTTATCTTTTGGATCTTCTTATATTATGAATTAGTGTTCACTATGATAACGTTTTGAATAGCTCTGTTTGTTTGAATTAAAAAATTAGTAAATGATCAGTTGTTATAATATGCTTTTTTAAGTATATATATTAAACATTATACAAATCAATTTATAAGCTTCCAATTATAGTTTGAATATTACATTTTTTACTCAACAAACTTTCGAAATATGGATCGAATATTAAATTTAAAACACAAAAAACTGTTTATGTATTACATTCAAAACTAATTACATTCAAAACTAAAAAAACTTTTGAAGAGCATCAGCCCGTGCAGGGCGCGGGCCAGCCACCTAGTTTCTTATGTTTATATGGTTTTCGATTTCTTATGATTTAGTATAAATATTAACCATTTTCTCTAATAAAACCGATATTTAGTCAAATCTAACGAAAATGTAAAATCAAGAAATGAAATGTCTAATGGAATGACAGTATTTGTGATGTCTAGATTAGGGTTTTTCGACTTTAATTATTTTAGTCTATATATGTACGACTTCTCTTTAATTTTCTCACACCCTTCTAAATTGTTTAACTCCTTCCTTCTTCTTCGAAGAAGTTTGTACGATACTTCAAAAAACTACGTCTAAAATACATAGAACAGTGATCCAAAAATCTCAAAACTATTTAAACTAAATTATTTGAATATTAATATGTTTTTACCTACTTGCTTTTACACTGTTTTTACGGTCATGTCTTCAAACATTAAAATATAAAGAAATCTAACAAACAAATATGCTAAACAATATAAAATAAAAAACAAATGAATCCAAACTACTATTAAATTTTCAAACAACCAAATAAAAAAAATTATCAACCATTTGGAGCGGTGCTGGAACCGAGTATTACGGCCTTCCAAAGGCATGTATGGAAAGTCCGTACTCCTAGAAAAATGAAACACTTTATGTGGCAATCTTTGACAGGGTGCATTGCTACATGCCATAATCTCACATATCGACATATGGGCTCTGACAAGCGGTGTCCCTGCTGCGGGGATCCTGAGGAGTCTATCAATCATCTGTTGTTTCTATGTCCTCCGACCTTACAACTCTGGGCGCTATCAGACTTTCCGTCCCTTCCGGGCTTCTTCCCGAGTATCTCTATTTACCAAAATATGAGCTTTCTCTTTTGGAAAACAAAAGAGTTAGGAATGACAGATCCAAAAAAGGATGTATATCCTTCGATCCTATGGTACATTTAGAAAGCAAGGAACGACAAGATCTTCAACGGAAAATAAATTTCCCCGGAAGATACCCTGCTCCACGCAAAGGTGGAAGCGGAGAGTTGGAGAATCGCAAACCAACCCGAAGATGAAGAAGACAGAATTGGTGGGACCTCGGCTTCCCCTCTGTCCCAGACATCTTCACCTGAGGTTTTGCGGATCCCGATTTGCCGGATTGATGCCTCTTGGATTGACTACGGACCGGTTAGCGGCCTCGGGTGGAGCATTGTGAATGGCATGGGAAAAGAGATTTATGGACAACAGGGATGCCGCAGAAGCCTCTCCGCTCTTCACGCTGAGATGAATTGTCTCTTATGGGCTATGTCATGTTTGAGAGAAAGGCAATTTTCTTCAGTTCTCTTTGAGACCGACTGTTCGGATCTTGTAAGCATGTCTGAAGCTCCTGCGGATTGGCCGTCCTTCATGTCAGAGCTGGAAACCTTCCGTATTCTTCGAGAAAGCATCTCGGAATTTGCTTTATCTCATATTCCCAGGAGTCAAAACATCTGGGCGGATAGTCTTGCAAAAAGAGCCCGAGCTAAATGTTTTACCTTTTCCTACATCCATTATACCGAGCTGGTCGAGAATGAGCCCCGGACCACACCTCCGGCAGGCTACATGTGAAGTATTAGTTGGATAAATAACAAAAAAAATCCAAATAAAAATATTATATCAGCCCACGCAAGGCGTAAACAAATTCACTAGTTTTAATAAATTGCATAAACAAAACACGTATCAAAATCTTATATGCTGAAAGATTATGTTTTTCTTTGACACATCGCGACTTCAGTTGTCATGTTTTAAAAATCGTTCAAACCTAGTTAGCAAAAAAAAAATTCAAAATTACTGCTACACATCGCGACTTCAATTGTCATGTTTAAAAATCGTTCAAACTTATGAACGATATCCTCTAAAAATTAATGCTCACGATTCATGCGAGGAAATATAAACCAAGACAGATATATATATATATATATATATATATATTAATAAATGAATCTAATCAATCTCTGTATCCTTCATTAATTTTTCAAAATAATATGATACCGTGGTAATTTTGTTTTGTTTTAACCCGTGGTAAATTTGTATTTATACGTGTATCTTTGAATCAAATCACTGAATCAATAGACGTAATGATCCAATTCAAACTACATGTCACTGAATTTATCTAGCTTTCTAGAAGACTATGCTCGCGACTAATCAATGAAAACAAAGTTCTATATGTTTATGAGAAAAATTCAACTTCCAAAAGTTATTATTTACCAATTCTAAATACATCAACCATAAAATTTCAACTTTTGGAGCTTTAGGAGCTTCATATCTCAACTTTAGGAGCTTCATATCTCAAAACGGACTATGGGACGTCAATTTCTCTGGTAATCCGTTGTCCTGGCAAGGTATGCGTTACGGATCACTTCGTTAGAGCAAGACTGGACCGTGCTGTCTCAAACGATGCATGGGTAGAGGATTTTCCCTCCGGGATATCAGAATACCTTCGCTTTGAGGGTTCAGACCATCGCCTCTTAGTTACTTTCCTCGACGACTCGAGAATCAAACGCAAAGGTATCTTTCGTTTTGACAATCGACTTCGCGAGAAAGAGGAAATTATGGAGCTGATAGGACGAGTATGGAATGAGGCAGACAGATCCACAGTATTTGCTAAGATCTCGGACTGTCGATGCGAGATTATTAGATGGGTCAAAGGCCAAAATTTGAACAGTGCAAAGCTCATCTCTGATACACAGGGCGAATTAGAGAGAGCCCTCTCAGCAGATGTCCCTGATCCTGAGATGATTGGACGATGCACAGCGACTCTTGAACATGTCTATCAAGTAGAAGAGCAATTCTGGAAACAGAGAAGTCGCATTTTTCGGCTACAGAGTGGAGATCGTAACACTGGATATTTCCATGCGGTTACTCGCAACCATAGGACCTGTAATAGGTTCTCTGTTCTAGAAGACGATACAGGATCCACCTTCCATGAAGAACATGACTTCGCGTGTATCATCTCGGGCTATTTTCAGAGCATCTTCACTTCTCAGGACGGCTCAGGCTCCACTCTGGCCCGAGATGTACTGGAGCCCCAAATTGATGAGGCAACTAATGATCGCCTCATCCAGATTTCCAACGCCGAGGAGGTACATACAGCTGTACGAGCCATTCACCCGAGTAAGGCTCCTGGACCAGATGGATTCTCTGCTGGATTCTTTCACACTTACTGGCCTATTATTGGACCCGAAGTTGTCAAAGAAATCCAAGAGTTCTTCATATCTGGTTCCTTCCCACTCCGACAGAACGAAACCCATGTTCGTTTAATTCCAAAGTATCAGACTACCGCCCGATTGCGCTTTGCAATGTTTACTACAAGATTATTGCAAAGATCCTGACCAAGCGCCTTCAGGGCATCCTCCCATCCATCATTGCTGAAACTCAGTCGGCCTTCGTCCCTAATAGAGCAATTTCGGACAATGTCCTCATCACCCATGAGACATTGCATTACCTTAGGACATCGG